GTCCGAATCAGCCCCACCTCATCACAGGTATTTGGCACTTTTAGAGGAGAGGAGTGGGTTTCGCCGCAATCTTTAGACTCTTCGTCGCTACTTTCAAAGACGCCTTCCAAAATCTCATCCCCGGTGTCCTCGTTACCACCACCTCCACCTTCACCGCCGCTACCGGCTGAATTTTCATTCACAAAGCGCCTCATGCGATCATATGATCGCTTGAAGTCGGAACTATCTGCCGACCCACAACCACTGGAGCTTGGAACTCGACCGACAGACTCTCGAAGACTATGTAGGAGCTTGAAGCACCGAGAGTGCTGGTTCAGCTTTGCGACGTCCTCCGCTGTAAGACCTTTATTGAGAAATTTGATTTATACAAGTTGTCACAGTATGCTCTACTGTTATGGCGTCAGTAGAGGTACTACGATTGGCAATGAAAACTTCAAATGTAGTATGCTTCAATGATAGTTCGAGTTAATTTCAATCACACATATCCCACTAAGATAAAGAGGAAGCTTCAGTCGACAGTGTACTAGGATGCTGACCAGTTAATCATATAAACAAATTTTTTTACAGACTTTCAGTGGAAAAAATACGCATATCCTCGGTTCCGCCGGAAGTGCCAACAAGTCGTTTATAAAGCTCCTTGTGGTCATGATAAAATAACACACACGCACAGCCAAAATAGCAGAAATCGGATTCGCTAAAGAAAAATGGTAGAGGCAATCAAAGAACAAAACAGTAACTAGCCAATTACGCCGTTGATGCAAGTGCTTTTTGTAAAAAGGCAATCACTGCCGATGCGCCTAATGACTTGTAGTATGTAAATGCCGAAAGGTTAGGAACTCGGGGTTGTCTTCAGGAATCATCTGAGTTCTGCAATGAACACTCACAGCTAAGCGAAGTAATAACTTGAGCTAGAGGCAAAACCTGAGGCATTTGGACCCAACTCGAGTGCCAATGAGCGATGCGGTGCGAAACCTCCGAAAAACAAACTGACGTCTCCGTGAATGTGTGGGCTACGAAGCCATAATACACGCGTTGCCAGGGTAGCACAAATGCGCCTCGTGTGCACGCTGTTCGTCGGGTTGTTCACATGTCTTAGTACCGTTTTGATGCAGATGTGGTGCGGGCAAAGTAGTAGAGGTGGATGTCAACCCACAGTCTCACTGCATATGAGCACAAAGAAGTACCCTTTTCAATGTTCTCAGCGTATGAACATTCCCTTGTTTTTTTAAAGCAAAGAAGATCATATTTAATTACAAGTATGTAACTTAAGTCACTCATTTTTTTGCCTTACATTCTTTTATTAACTAAAAAACAATGAAAGTCAAACGCGAGCTCCACATAAAACTCAGTT